AAAGGCATGCTTTCTCTTGCTGCTTGGCTAAATATAGGATGGAATATAGCATTGTATGAGATATTTTAAGATAGCAAAAACATTTAAGAGGTTAAAGGTTTGACTTTTGGATCAAAAAAGATCAGTAATATAACTCATGGTGTTACTTGCAGACTGGATTTTATCTAGAGTTTGTTAGTGATTTGTACTCTTGGTTAGGGAAGTTATTCTAGGTTTATTTGGTGTAGTCTGAAAAACCCACTCTGCTGTTTTTTCTGTCAGCTTCCCAGCGTGAAGAGCAGGCCTGAAAACAGCCTCTATTTATACCCCCTTGTTCTTATTTGGAAAATCAGTTGTTTCATTGGAGAGAGAGGGAGAGGGGGAGAGAGAGAGAAGAGCATGAGCAGTCGTCAGGGAGTGTGCTTTGTACGTTATAGTGACTTCAAAATAAAACTGGCACATTTTAGTGTCTAATTATTTTTAGTGAGCTTGGAGGGTTTTAATTAAAATTTAAGAGTGCTCTTCAAGCTCTCCAAGTTCCAATTTTATCCCACTGTATTGTGGAGCACTTGCCACTGTGGAAAAATGTACAGTAACTGGCATGTGCAACTCTGTGTTTCCTAATGAAAAATGTGGGATGGATAATCAGTAGGGATATAAATATATTTTGCTGGATTTAATTGTAAACCAAGGTCATGGATACTTTTGATAAGTTATCATTGTTCTTAGATAAATAGAAAAATTTATTACATTTGAAATTTATGATTCCTATGGTAAAAATAAAAGGAATTGCTTTACCATTTTCTCGAAGTGTTAATAAGCAATAGAAAATCTGCACACAGAGCCAGCAAAAATTGTTTTCCTCACTAAAATATTTTGAAGATTTTTTTATGTTGTTTCTAGTGTTTTAGCATTTCTAAGTTTAAATATCAAGAGGTAAAAGTAAAATAAGGGTTTACTTATAGGTAGATTGTTGTGAAGTGCGATAAAGATTTGACACATTGTCTCTTCCTCTTCCCCATGCTCTAACTTTAATGACAATTTATTTATTTATTTTTAATCTATCCGAAATACCTTTATTTTGTATAGTATAGGAGTTAATACTGCTGCAGATTTGTCTAACTAGAAGTAATTCAAATTGTTCCCCAAATGTCTTCATACAGATTAGGAAATCAATATCTCACATACTCTTTTTTAATTTTTCTTACATCATAAAATTAATTACTAAGTTAATTAGCAAAAACATTACTCAGCTGTGATAAAGCATACTTGACTTACCTAGCCTGAAACCTAAGTACTTAGGAAGCAGAAACATTGCTTTGTAATTTATTATGCATGATATTTTAAAAACAAAATAGTTCTGAATTCTATCTTCCTTTTCTCTCAAATTTCTTGAAAGAGAAAAGTTTCAATTTGAAAAGAGAAAGAAAAAACCAGAAACAATGCAAGTGATAATTTATAATACATCAAAACGTTTACATCCTTGCTTAAATTATAGGTGAGAACTGAAGTCCAGCTCTTGATTTTTGATAGTACCCTTTTAATCATTATTATTTATAAAAATTAGAGAAGATAAAGTCCTGCATTTCACAGAATATATATTGGTTAATGGAAACAGATTATTTCAAAGTAAGAGGAATTAATTTTGGCATTTTCTATTTCAATACAACTTTAGCATGATGTTACTTTAGCATTATGACTTACATTTATTTTTTAAAAATATGGACATATTATGGTGACATTTTTCATGCCGTAATGTTGTAATTCTTTATTCCCATTTCCAAAAAGCATATATTTTCTCTCCTGATTTCAGATGGTGACAACTCAAAGACATTAAACTTGGAAGAGTCAAAGTCAGATAATAAATTTACTGGATATTGTTAAATTGTTTTGAGGATGGTGGCAGCATTATAACTAATTAGTTAATTGTTTTCAAATTAATTTTGTAAAATATATTTATGTGTATAAAATAATCCAAGAGTGTCTTGGGGCTGTTCAGTCTTTTTTTTTCATTTGGAATCTTACGTGATTACTGTGTTAAAGCCACTCAATATTATCTTATTCTTTCCATGTAATGCAAACCGGCCTTCTTTACTTATTTTTACTACTCTGATTTTTGCATTTATGCTAGATCAGAATAGGGCAAAGTCTGATCTGATCAATTGCCTCTATAATACTAGTATCCCATTTATGTAGTTGACAAATGTGGCACAAAAGGAATGGATCCTTACTTTTAAGTTGTACCCATACCTGGATATTGTTTTGAGATAGAAATTTGAAAACATAAATTTTATTTGTAACTTTGTATCTATTAAATATTTTCTCATTTCAAATCAGGAACCTTTTGGTGGTAGCAATAGTGTCTTCTGCTTATACAGTGCTTAGTAACAATCCATTTCGTTTGGCTTTTTTTCTCTCATTCTACTTTCTTTACATTATTACATGGAGAATGCTTAGCACCAATTGTGGTATGCTGTAGAGGTTTGGCAGTCAGATAATGGGGTAGAATGCAGTCATTTGTCAAGAGACTTTCTTATAGGTCTTCCGGGAATCTCCTAGTCTTGAGATTAAACATTGATAAGCTTGTATGTAGTAACTTTCATTGTCCTATAGATAAAGGCAATCAGTGATTGCTATTAAATATTTTCATGGCTGAAAATGTAGATATGCAAAGGCTGCTTTATTTTTTCCCTCAGTTTCTTCTACTGAAATGGGAACTCATAAAGCTAGATTAACTGAGCGTTGCAGTAAGGATTAATTTTCTGATAGGAATGCGAAACGCTTTGAAGTTACCAACCATTTTATTAATGAGTAGCTTTTATATAAAGCTGTGTCCACATGATTTGATTTATATTTGAAATGTGTATTCCTGTTGTTCATATAGCTCTCTTTTTCTCCCATGAAGTTTTAGCATTCTTTTATTGGAGCTCTAAAAGATTTCAGGTCTATTTATAGAAATGAGAGACATATTTTAGCCTGTTTACATCCTAACATGCATTTAATCCTAGTATATGGACTTGCTCTGAATTTGTTATTATTACAAATAAATTGGGCTTTTATCTTTGACTACTATAATATATGCTTTCAACTCAAACTTTAGCTAAAAAAGTTATGCTTTTGTAATTGTATCAGCAATTATTAGCTTAGTGCACTGATATAATGTATGAAAGGGTAATAAAACAAAATTGGGTAGGATATGAAAATAAAAACTTTTTGTTGACTATTCTTATCCATAATCTAATGTTATATCAATCAATCTCAGCAATTCAAACCTGATTTGAGAAAAAGTAATCTGTGACAGGCATGGATTTGAAGAATTGCTTCCTAACTCTTAACTTAGTATTATCATTTGTATGACTTTAGCATAAAAACAAAATAGGTATAGAACAAAACATATATCTTGTTTCTGTATTTGAATAAAAAATAGTAAGAGGCTACTTCAGCAATTAAATACAACCTGAATATATGCATATGCATGTAGGCCCCATTGGAACATCACTCAGAATCCAATTTTGAAGCACAGTAGTAGATCATTTGTTGAAAACTGAGAAAATAATAGGAAATAATGGACTAAAGAAAGAAGGAAGGTAGGAAGGAAGGAAAAGGGGAGGGAAGAAGTAAGGGAATGGGCAAGGAGCTTTCATTAATAAAATCAAGCTGACTTCTATTTAGAAAGAACTTTAGCTCTGTGATAGCCAGTTCGGATGGTTGTTCTTCATCAGCCGTTTTCACAACATGCTGATCTGGATTCTATCCCTTCCTTGATTGATTGATCGTGTCACAGACAAATGTTAATTGTTTTTTCACCAATACTTTCTAACCATGCAGTGGTCTTCTCATCTCAGCCCAGGGCTCACTGTCTTTTTCTGAAGCTTATCTAGCTTCTAAAGCCGTTTAGATCCATCTTGACCTTACTGTCATTCTGAAAAATTCAAGGAGGATTTAGAAGCTGGAGGAAAAAAAAAAAAAAAAGAAGGGGAAAATACTAAAGAGATAGGTGCTGATATGAGAGAGAAAAGGCATTTAGAATTGGAGTAAATGTTTTAAATATAATTTTAAAAGGAAGTTATCAGAATTTTGACACTTGGAATGTTAAAGTTTTATGGGATATGCTTTGCACTAAGGATTTAGTATTTAAATCTGCATTCCCTTTTGGAAACATGACCTATTTGTTAAGATTTGAGGCTTAAAAGATACAAATAAATAGTTGTAAGCAGTAGCGCCCGTTGCAAATCCATTTGCATAGAGAGCAGAAATAACTCATTGAGAAAAATTTGGTAATTATCAGAACCTTCTAAAGTTTGGATTTCTGTAATCTTTATGAATCTTGATAAAAACAAGTGTAATTACTCCCTGTATTCTAGTATGCTATTTAGAAATACAGTAGGGCAAATAATAAATGGTATTTATATAGGTATTTATTTAATAAAAATATGTATTGGTTTTTACATAAGAGAAAAGTTTTAGCAGTTTTTATTACTAGGGGTCAGAGAACATCTTAATTTCATTTTCTTCTTGTTTTGCTCTCATTGGATATTTTACAAAAGTTAGATTTCTTTTTTAAGAACTAAGTGGTTTCAGATTGGCCTCTTCTCTCCTGAATATCTGTTATTGTTTCTTGCACAGCACATACATTTTGCTTGGACTTAAAAAAAATTGCCTGGATTAAAAGGAGTATCTAATGTTAAACTCATAGGAAAGAGCTCTCTTTTCTATACTATCAATCTAAGAAATGACAAATGTGAATTGAATATTAATAGAATTATAATACTAAAATAGATTATTGAGCATTATCTTTTTTCTCCTAGATGATAGTTTAAATAATTATCTGGTGAAAATAAACTTTATGGTGGTATTTTATAATACATATTATAGAATAATGTAATTTTCTATATCCTGGGGTTCAAGCTACAGCAACAAAAACAGCTTTGTGCATTCTTAAATGAAAATTTCCCCATAAACTGACTTTCTAAATTTGTAATAAATATATATTTTTAATACTTACTTTTGTATTTTAATAGATTCCTCCTGCATGGAAAAACTACTTTCAAAAGATTGGAAGGAAAAAATGGAAAGACTAAATACCAGTGAACTTCTTGGGGAAATTAAAGGTACAACATAAAATATATTGAACATGTCAATGCAGTTATGTTATTTTGTGTAACAATGCATTTGCTGATCTTCTGTACCATAACACTAAATCTTACATCTAACATTTGATTGTACATGAGAGGGTAAGTGTATTATACGTTTCTGAGCTTTTATTCCTTGCAGTGTTTACAAACTGAAAAATTTCTCCCCTTTTTGTATTAGTCTATAAACATATAACTTATGGGATATGCTGCCTCATTAATTTACTTCACAAAAAAAGTGTTAAAACCTTATGTCAAAAGATGAGCAAATTAAGCTAAAGATAGTCTTAGTTTTTCCTCTTAAAATTATAATAATAGCTTAATTTATGAATCCAAATTATTTTGAATTTCTTCTAATCAAAATGAGTTGCCTGTAGCACCTTTAAAAATGTTTCTAGAATGTGCTGTACATAATGGTTTATTGGGGGATTCTGAAGCCGGTTTACCTTGGTTCAAATCCTGGCTCTATCACTGGATGAGTACTTTGGACAAGCCACTGAACTTTTTTTTTCTTTTCTTTTCTTCTCTTTTTTTTTTTTTTTGAGATAGAGACTCACTCTGTTGCCAGTCTGGAGTGCAGTGGCACGATCTCAGCTCACTGCAACCTCTGCCTCCCGGGTTCAAGTGATTCTCCTGCCTCAGGCCCCTGAGTAGCTGGGACTACAGGCATGTGCCACCATGCCCACTTAATTTTTGTATTTTTAGTAGAGAGGGGTTTCACCAGGCTGACCAGGATGTTCTCGATCTCTTGACCTTGTGATGTGCCTATCTTGGCCTCCCAAATTGCTGGGATTACAGGTGTGAGTCACTACGCCCGGCGTTTTTCATGTTTTATAATCCTCATCTCTAAAATGAGGATAATACAAGTACTTCCTTCATAGGCTAATTAAGAGAGTTAATACATGTGTAGTTCTTAGAACAATACCTGGCACTTAAGAAAGTACTCATGAGTTTAAGTTTGGTGGTTATTATTAATATATACAAAGGATCCTATGTTGATTAAGCTCAAATTTCATTAGGTTTAGCATTTCATGGTCTCTGACTCAGATGAGAATAAACATCTTTACTTTTGAATATATGTGATGGATGTTATTATTTTTAGACATGTTAAGAAGTGAACTATCCCAATCCATTCAGATAGTAAGTTACCTTATCAATCGAGAGTTATACTTTTTGCCTACTAATGGAACTCTTGCTAATTCATTTATGGAGAAGAAGTGCTGTATATATATTTGCATTATGAATGAAATTCGTGATCACTCATTAACTCTGTCAATCCTTACAGACAGTCATCACTGTGATTGGCACTAACGATTTGGGTGCTTAGTTACATTAGTTTTCTGAATTTATCAAACAACTTTAATTGAATCTTCCTATTGGTTGTGGATAATATCTGAGTTAAGATGAAAATTTGATAATAATTATCTAATGTAAATGTTATTTTGAATTTACTACAGAAAATTTCCTAGTTTTCAGGTATGTCATTTTCAACTCAAATGAAGAGAAAAGGAAGTCATCTTTTTTCCCAGCAAATAATTAATAAATCATTGCATTAACTAAAATTGTGTATCACAACCAGTGGAAACTGGATATTATTTTGAGTTCTCCTACTTCTGTTTTGTACTCATAAAGGCCATTTGCTGTTTTGGAAAAAAAAGAAACTCAACTTATTGATGGATACAAAGAAAGTCATTAGTGACATATTCTCTATCCAGCTGCAATAACATGGTGTTTGCTACTTTGCACGTCATTCTGTGTTTTCTTCCCTTTCCAAAGTCATTCCTTTTTATAACAGTGAGAACAGAAATGGTTTGTACAAAGGCAAGCTTTTTCCAGCATGAATGATGAGGGTCCTGCTTTCTGTTAGGAATGTGAAAACTAACATTTTGTTATGTTATAATTCAACGTGGAGTTATTGTACTTCAGGGTATATTTTCTCCCTCACTTTCCATCTTTCTTTATATTTAATTCTAATTTTGAATTCAAAATTTTATAAAAGGACTAGTCTTGGATACTTGAAATGTATAAATCACAAAAGTGAATCACATGAAAAATTAGCCTTTTCAAAATCTTTAACCTTTTTTTTCTGGATTCTTTGTGATACATGAACTTTCATTTGTGTTATTCTGAGTTTCTTATGGGCATAAAATATAAGATTCTTATTAAATTTATCTTTATTCTACATTATCATCTCTTCATACATACTAATATCTTCTACAGAAAATGTACTAATAAAAATTAATTTAAAAATGAAAAAATCAGTTAAAGTAGTATTTAAATAGTTTGAATAAACCACTGCCAAAACTCAACATACATTTTTATTCTGGTGGAAACCAGGCCAGTTATTATCCACCTAAATTACTTCTCATTATCCTGAAATTTTAAAATGACCTAAATTATGTCTTTGAGGAATACATACAATCATGGGTTATCAGTATTTAATATTATATCTCGAGCATTATGTATTTTTGATAGCTCTTATATTTTTCTGATTGCAAAATTCATATGTATTTATTTGTAAGAAACATAGAAAAAAACATAAAGGTAGTGAAACTGTCTTTTAATTCTACCTGTATCTTATTGTGTATTCTTTCCATTTTAAATTATGCATACTTATGTTAATTTTTCCCCATAAAATTAGAATCATCCCATTATAATTTTTTTGTAATCTATTTTCCCCACTTGATATATTATGAATTTTCCTGAGATTGAGTTATCTTCCAAAATATTATTTTTGTTGGCAGAAAGTATTGCATGAAGTGAGGTTTTCATAATGTAACTGAGCCTTTTCTTCAACATTTGTTTTTATTGTTTGTTGGTACAAAGAGCACCTATCTTGAAAACAGATAACATTTTTATTAAGACTTATGAACTTATTAGTGGTTATTTAGATTATATTCTTAAAAGTGAAATTCCTGGTTCAAAGAGTTTGTTCTTTTTTTTTTTTTTTTTTTTTAGTACTTTAAGTTTAAGGTACAATGTGCACAAGTGCCGGTTTGTTACTAGTTATCACATGTGCCATGTTGGTGTGCTGTAACCATCAACTCATCAGCACCCATCAACTCGTCATTTACATCAGGTGTAACTCCAATGCATCCCTCCCTCTCCCCCTCCCACAATAGGCCCTGGTGTGTGATGTTTCCCCTTCCCATGTCGAGTGATCTCATTGTTCAATTCCCACCTATGAGTGAGAACATGCCGGTGTTTGGTTTTTGTTCTTGTGATAGTTTTGCTGAGAATGATTGCGTTTCCAGCTGCATCCCATGTCCCTACAAACGGACACAAACTCATCCTTTTTTATGGTGCATAGTATTCCATGTATATATGTGCCACATTTTCTATATCCAGTCTGTCACTGATGGACATTTGGGTTGATTCCAAGTCTTTACTATGTAATAGTGCTGCGCAGTGAAACATTTACTTGTGCAGTGTGTCTTTATGAGCAGCATGATTTATAATCCTTTGGGTATTACTAACCAATAAGGGATGGCTGGGTCATATGGTATTTCTAGTTCTAGGATCACTCAGGAATCGCCATATCATTTTCCACAATCGTTGAACTAGTTTACCAATCCACCAACAGTGTAAAATGGTTCTTTTTCTTGACGTGTTCTGGATTAAAAAGATCGACTGGTGTAGAGACTTCCTGGTTGATGCACCTGAATTGGCCCAGTGATGGATCCCATATGTGTCGTGTGAGCTCATGTCTGATATATAAGTTAACCTGCTAAGTATGGGTGTGTTTTTTCTGAATGTGAAGTTCGTGGTTGGATATTTAGCCCTTGTCAGCATGAGTAGATTGCAAACCTTTTCTTCCATTCTGTAGGTTGCTGTGTTCACTCTGATGGTAGTTTCTTTTGCTGTGCAGAAGTCTTTTAGTGTTAATTAGATCATTTGTCAAATTTTTGGCTTTTGGTTGCTGGCTGCTTTTGCAATGTTTTAACATGAAGTGCCATTGCTATGGCCTTATGTCTGATTGGTATTACCTTAGGTTTTCTTCTAGTGTTTAGATTATTAGTCTAACATTTAAGTCGTCTAATCCCATCTTGTGAATTATTTTTTATTCAGGAGTAAGAAAGGATCCAGTTTTTCAGCTTTCTACTTATGGCTAGCCAACTTTTCCCGGCACCATTTATTAAATTAGGGGAATCCTTTCCCATTTCTTGTTTTGTCAGGTTTGTCAGAGATCAGATGGGCCGTAGCTGGTGGTATTCATTTTCTGAGGGCTCTGTTTCTTGTGTCCATTGGTCTATATCTCTGTCTTAGTACCGTACGTGCTGTTTTGGTTATTGTAGGCCTTGTAGTAAGTTTTGAAGTGCAGTAGCGTTGATGCCTCCAGCTTTGTTCTTTTGACTTAGTGGATTGTCTTGGGCAATGCGTGCTGGCTTTATGGTATCACATATGAACCTTTAAAGCAGTTTTTTATCCAATTTTGTGAGAAATGATTGGTGGCTTGATGGGGATGGCACTGAATCCTATAAATTACGCTGGGGCAGTTATGCCATTTCACGATATGATTCTCCTACCATGAGCTTATGAGTATGTTCTTCCATTTGTTTATGTTCCTCTTTTATTATCACTGAGCGAGGTGGTTTGTTAGTTCTCCCTGAAGAGGTCCTTTACATCCCTTGGCGTAGTTGGACTTCCTAGGTATTTTTATTCTCTTTGGAATGCTATTGTTGAATGGGAGTTCATTCATAATTGTGGGCTTTCTGCTTTTTCTGTTACTTGGTGTATAAGAATGCTTTGTTGGGCCGGGCGGCCGGTGGCTCAAGCCCTGTGTAATCCCAGCACTTTGACCAAGACTGGCGGAACGAGTAAGATCGAAACCATCCTGGTACACGGTGAAACCCCGTCTCTTACTAAAAAGAATACAAAAAAAGACTGAGCTGGGCGAAGTGGCGGGCGCCTGATCCAGCTACTCGGAGGCTGGCGCAGAGAATGGCTTAAAACCCGGGGATGCGGGTTTGCAGTGAGCT